TGCAGCATTAAACATGATCCTGAAATGGGGGGGCAGTGATGGATCTTATAGAAGCAAATCCTAACTTCTTGCTAAGAAAGGAAACAAAGAACAGGCAATGATTTCCTGCAAAGACCCTCTCTTCCAAATGGCATTTTCACTTCCCACCTGAAACAACAATTGGGGAGGAATCTTGGGAAAAGATCTTTCATGGGGAGAAAATCCCATAGTCCACTGTCCAAGGTGTTGGAAGTCAATGGAAAGATTGTTAACCAAAGAGTAATTTCTCCAAAGCTCCAACGAGACTGAAATGATGATGATGATTCTGAAATAAAGAGTTCCCAGAAGTTGCAGAGAGTGGCTTTCATAGAATGATAGAGTTAGAAGAGACCTCGTGGGTCATCCAGCCTGTCGGGGGTGCTTTGAATGCGATTTTCCTGCTTCTTGGCAGGGGGTTGGACTGGATGGCCCACGAGGTCTCTTCCAACTCTATGATTCTATGAAAGCACCAGAAAATAAGAGAAAAGGGTGTGTCTCAGTTCATGTTTACCTCTGATGCCTCCCACTTTCCCATCCACCCCTGGCATGTGACCCTAGAGAGAATGTGAATTATGACTGGAAAAAACGTCTTTCACCCTTAGGCCAAATAGCACAACTCTAAAGCACTCAGGTATGAGTGTAATGTATGCATACAGTGCATTGCATATAGGAACACATTGAACGCTTCACTGCTGCAACACAGTTGACAAGTTCAACTACACCTTTCCTCTGAAATGAACAAACAGCAATGATTCATGTGGATAGGAGAAAGTGAAGGAGTGAACATGGGGACAGTTGAAAAATGACTCATTTCGGCCTCATTGCCTGTGGTTACACATTGGAATGCAACATACACTTGTACAGTATGTGATGGCACCATTATTCGGAGTTCAACTCATGTGCCTATTTTCAAATGTGGGAGGAAATATGCTGTAGTGTATCTTACCAGGAAAATAAAAAGGAAGTTGTTTGAGATCAGAAGTGATGGACCAGTCCAAAAATACTTTTTTGGTGGTCATCAAAATACCCTCCAATACCCTGCATGGGCTGTAGATGCTACCAGTACTAAATCTGGCTACCAATACTAAGAAAACTCTAAAATTATAACAGTAAATAGAAAACAAAACTCAAACATACGGGAACTCCAGACAAGAAACAATCAGGAACACCCAATCACCTCTCAACAAAGGAATTTCCCAGGCAGTAACAGGCTACACCTAAAAATTGTCAGGCTATCAAATGCTAATCAAGGTGGCCACTTGAAACATTCACCCCTAGCTCCAACAGACAAGAGTTCTTTCTCCCATCCTGGACCTTCCACAGATATATAAACCCAATTTTCCTAGTTTCCAAAAAACCTCACAACCTTTAAGGATGCCTGCCACAGATGCAGGCAAAATGTCAGGAGAGAATGATTCTAGAACATAGCCACACAGCACGAAAAACCTACAACAACCCAGTGATTCCGGCCATGAAAGCCTTCAATAATCCATAAAATATAAGATATTGGTTAGAATCATAGAAACATAGAATAGGAGGAGACCACACAGATCCTTCAGTTCAAACCCCTGCCATGCAGGAAGAGTCAATCAAATCACTCCTGACAGGTGGCCAACTAGCTTCTGTTTAAAATATTGAGGAGTTTATGGTCTATTAAGACTCCAATATCCCTTTCAAGCTGGATACCACTCATCCTTTGTCTTGGCATTTACGGTGATCTTTTTTCTGCATTGCATTTCTCCTTTTTTGAAATTCCTGTTGTTAGTTTTGGCCCAGCTCTCTCTAATCTGTTAAAGTCCTTTGGGACACTGATCCTGTCATCTAGGATATTAGCTGTCCTTCCCAATTTAGTGTCGTCTACCCCTCTGTTTCACCATCCAAATAATGGACAAAGACATTGAATAGCACTGGGTCCAGGATAGAGCCCTGTGGCGATCCACTAGTAACTTCACTCCAGGATGAAGAAGAGCCATCAGTGATCCAATTAAAACAATTACAAATCCACCCAACAGTAGCACTGAGATCTCTGATTATGATAGATTTAGAGACTTGGAGAGTTAAGACAACTGTTAATAATGTTAGCTGATAAAGTGTAAGAAGATTAATAGTGTTGCTTGATAAAAATTTCTAACCCTACATTGATTTTGATAGAAAAAAAAGTGTTAATAAACCTTGATTTTATTATTAGACACCTAAATCAGAAATAATAATAATAACACTTTATTTATATTCCTCCCTATCTTCTCAAGGGGACTCAGGGTAGGTCACACATACACAACAAACATTCAATGCCATTTGGACAGACAGGACAGAAACAGACAGAAAAAAGGTATGTAGTGTTGACCTTCAGCTTTTTGGTGCCTTGGAGGTTGTGCTCGAATCTAGCCACAGGGGGTGCTGTCACTCCATCCTCTGGCAAAGAGCCATCAGGACTTCCAACTTCCTTTTGGTCGCCGAGCATTCTCTGATCTTTTTATTTTCACGGTGTTGTAAAATACCTCTCACACTTTTTAGCGATACCTAATTTCTCTACTTACAACTCTAAGCTGTTTTCGAACTGCTTAGGTAAACAGTGAGCTGGTCTGACAGTCGGGAGCTCACATCGACCTGGGGCTTCGAAATGGCAACCTTTCGGTTAGTAGATCTTATAGCTGCTGGTGATTTACCAGCTGTTCTAAAGCTCGGCCCGGCTTTACAATAGTAAACTTATAACGCAAACATTAAAATGTGACAATAATATTATAATGTAATACAATATAATACTATAATACAATATAATAATTATTACTTTATTGCAGTATAGTGATATAGTACAATATAGTAATATTTAATACTGACATGGTGCTACGCTAATAATATATTGCTTGTACATATAATATTGATCATATTATAATATAATACTACTACTAATAAAACAATATAATTATACAATATAATTATATTGTATAATTATATTACTAATAATATTGCAGCATAGTGGAATAATACAATATAGTAATATGTAATACTAATATTGTGCTATGTTAATGATACAATATATTGTATATACATATAACTTGTAAGCTGCTCTGAGTCCCCCTCAGGGTGTGAGAGGGTGGGATATAAAATAGTAATATAAATAAATAAAAATTTATTGGGGTCATCATAAGTTGACTTGAATGCAGAAACTTGCATAATCCATATAAAGAGAACAGTAATATGTGATATAGATATGTAATTATAGATGTATAAACACATTATGTATTTAAATAACTGCTGGAAAAGGTTGAGAAGTCACTGTTATCTTTTTGTATTTTTTCTGCAGTTGAGAAATCAGAAAACGAGGACTTGTAAGGGCAGCTATGAAGGAACTAGACAAGATCCTGAAATGTTGAGATATATCATTGAATACTAACGTTAGATTGTCCATGTATTTCCTGGATTTCTTATTTCTCTGTATGGTTGTGAAAGCTGGACAGTGAAGAGTGCTGGTTGGAAGGAAATCAACTTATTTGGAATGTAATGCTGGAGAAGAGTCCTGCAGATAGTGTGGACTGCTAAACAGTCCACAATGGCTCCTAGGAATTAAATCCTCCCTTTCTTGTACTTTGGCCATATCTTGTCTTTATTTCCTCTTCCTCCAATTTATTTACTCCTTCCCCTTTCTTCCTTCTCCCTTCCTCTCTTCCTTCCCTTTCCTCTCCTTTCTTTCCACCTTCTCCTTCCTTCCTTCCTTCCCCTTCCTCTCTCTTCCTTCTTTTTTTCTTTCCTTCACTCCTCCTTCCTTCTTTCCTCCCTTCCCTCTTCTCTCTTTCTTCCTTTCTTCCTCTTTCTCCTCCCCCTTTTCCTCCTCTCCTTCCTTCCTTCTTTTTCCTCTCCTCTCCTTTTCCTTCTCTTCCCTCTTTCTTTCTTTCCTTCCTTCTCCCTTCCTTCTTTCCTTCCCTCCCCTTCTCTTCCCCTCTTTCCCTCCCTCTCTTCTTCTTCCTTATTTCCTTCCTTCCTTCTCTAATTTTTAGATGTCCCCTTTTTTCCTCTTCCCTTTCTTCCCTTCTTTCTTTTCTTTGTTTCCTCCTCCTTTCCATCCTTCCTTTTCCTTTTCTTTCCCCTCCTCCATTTCTTCCCTCCCTCCCCTTTCTTTCTTTCCTTCCTCTCCCCTCCTCTTCCAATTTCCTCCCTCCCTCCCTTTCCTTCCTTCCTTCTTCCCTTTTTTCTTTTTCCTCCTCCTCTCCTTCCTTCTCCTCCTTTCCTTCCTCTCCCCCCTCTTCTTTCCTTCCTCCTTCCTTCTTTCTTTCTTCCCTTTTCTCTTTTCTTCTCCTCTCTCTCCTTCCTTCTCCTCCTTTCTTTCTTTCCTTCTTTCGTTCCTCTCCCCTCCTCTTCTTTTCTCCCTCCCCTTCCTTCCTTCCTTCCTTCCTTCTTCCTTCCTTCCTTCCTCCTCTTTCCTTTTTTCTTTTTCCTTCTTCCTCTTCCTTCCTTCTCCTCCTTTCTTTCCTCTCCCTTCCCCTTCTTTCTTTCCTCCTCCCTTCCTTCTTCCTTCTTCCCTCCTTCCTTCTTTATTTCCTTCCTTCCCTTTCCTTCTCCTTTCTTTCTTTTTCCTTCCTCCTCTCCTTCCTTCTCCTCTCTTTCTTTTTTCCTTTTCTCCTTCTCTCCTTTCTTCCTCCCTCCTTTTCCTTCCTTCCTTCCCTTAGCTTCTACCTTTTCTTTCTTTGTTTCCTCCTCCTCCTTTCCTTCTTCCCTTCCCTCTCCTCCTCCCCCCCTCCTCCTCCAATGCCTTCCCTCCCTCCCTTCTGGGTGGCGCCCTTTCTTCCCTCTCTCTCCGTCCAGTCCAGTCCAGTCCATTCCCGGCTCCCATCCCTTAAGGAGGCGGCGCTGCTCCCCCTGCCGTCCGGAGCGAGCCACTGCGGCTCCCGCTTCCTCCTCGCCTCTTCCTCGGGGTGGCTCCGGCGCTGTCCGTCCTTTGTGGTGCTTCCTTCCTTCTCCGGCCGGCCAGGGATGCGTCCTTGGTGGGGGGCGGGGGGGCCATGGGCGGGGGCCGGGACCTGGTGGGCGCGCTGAGCCTGTGCTTGAGCGTGGGCTCCTTGGCCCTGCTCTCCACGGCCATCTTCACGGAGCACTGGTACGAGACCGACCCGCGGCGGCACCGGGAGGGTTGCCGGGGCGAGGAGGACGAGAGGCGCCCCGAGGAGAGCGGCCGAGGCGGAGAAGCAGAAGCCCACCGCCCGCCCGCCCCGCCGCCCCGCCGCCGCCTCCTCCCGCTGCCCCACCTGCCCTTAAGGGGAGCGCCCCCTTCCACCTCCTCCTCCTCCTCCTCCTTTTCGGGGAGCCTCCTTCTCTGGGAGAGCCGGGCCTCTTGCTCCCGGCCGCTCTTCGCCACCCACGCCGGGCTCTGGAGGAGGTGCTACGTCCTGGGAGTCGACAGGGACCTCGACAGCTTGGTGGAAAGAGGTAAGGAAAGGAAGGTGGTCAAGGAAGGGAGGGGGGAGGCGCCGGCGTCCCTCCTCCTCCTTGCCTTGGTCCCCCATCCATCCATCCATCCATCCATCCTCCCTCCTTCCCACCCACGTCTCCAGGTGGAAACGCCATCTGTGCTCTGTCTCATTCCAGCATCTCCAAAGACCCCTTCCTTGCCTCCCTCCCATGTTGAAAGGAGGCTGTTGGTACACACACCCCTCTCTTCTCTCCTGCTGCCCAAACTCTCTGAGCTCCATCTTCAGTTGAGAACCCCTGCTCTCTATCCCATCCCTGTGCTAGAAAGGGGAGGAGAAGATGTAGCTCACAGAGTTTGGGCAGGAGGAGAGAAGATCTCTTTCATCCACTTTAATTATCGTTTAAGTTCAAAATGCTCTTGGTTGGCAGGGGAGTCTCTGTTTAAAAGCCTCCAAAGAAGGAGCCTCCACCACACTCCACAGAGAGTTCCACTGCTGAATAGCTCTCACAATCAGGAAGTTCTTCCTATTTTTTTTTTTGGTCATGTCAGGAGAGACTTGAGAATCTGCAAGTCACTTCTGGTGTGAGAGAATGGCCATCTGCAAGGATGTTGCCCAAGGGACACCCGGATGATTTGATGTTTTATCATCCTTGTGGGAGGCTTCTCTCATGTCCCCGCATGAGGAGCTGGAGCTGGTAGAAGGAGCTCATCCGCCTCTCCCTGGATTTGAACTTGTGACCTGTCAGTCTTCAGACCTGCCGGCACAGGGGTTTAACCCACTGCGCCACCGGGGGCTCCTAATGTTCAGATGGAATCTCCTTCCTTGTAGTTTGAAGCCATTGTTCCTGTGTCCTAATCTCCAGGGAAGCAGAAAACAAGCTTGCTCCCTCATCCCTGTGACTTCCTCTCACATATTTATACATGGCTATCATGTCTCCTCTCAGCCTTCTCTTCTTCAGGCTAAACATGCCCAGCTCTTTAAGCCGCTCTTCATAGGGCTTGTTCTCCAGACCCTTATAGAATCATAGATCATAGAATCAAAGAGTTGGAAGAGACCTCATGGGTCATCCAGTCCAACCCCCTGCCAAGAAGCAGGAATATTGCATTCAAATCACCCCTGACAGATGGCCATCCAGCCTCTGTTTAAAAGCTTCCAAAGAAGGAGCCTCCACCACACTCCGGGGCAGAGAGTTCCACTGCTGAACGGCTCTCACAGTCAGGAAGTTCTTCCTCATGTTCAGATGGAATCTCCTCTCTTTGTAGTTTGAAGCCATTGTTCTGCGTCCTAGTCTCCAAGGAAGCAGAAAACAAGCTTGCTCCCTCCTCCCTGTGGCTTCCTCTCACATATTTATACATGGCTATCATATCTCCTCTCAGCCGTCTCTTCTTCAGGCTAAACATGCCTGAACTATTTTTCCCTAAACCCCGCCAGTATTTTCTGTTCGTCATGAGAGTTCTGCATGCCAAATTTTGTTCATAGAATCATAGAGTTGGAAGAGAACTCATGGGCCATCCAGTCCAACCTCGTCAAGAAGCAGGAATATTGCATTCAAATCACCCCTGACAGATGGCCATGCAGCCTCTGTTTAAAAACTTCCAAAGAAGGAGCCTCCACCACACTCCGGGGCAGAGAGTTCCACTGCTCAACGGCTCTCACAGTCAGGAAGTTCTTCCTAATGTTCAGATGGAATCTCCTTTCTTGTAGTTTGAAGACATTGCTCCGTGTCCTAGTCTCCAGGGAAGCAGAAAACAAGCTTGTTCCTTCCTCCCTGTGACTTCCTCTCATATATTTATACATTGCTATCATGTCTCCTCTCAGCCTTCCCTTCTTCAGGTTAACATGCCCAGCTCTTTAAGCCGCTCTTCATGTTATCCAGACCCTTGATCATGTTAGTCACCCTCCTCTGGACACATTCCAGCTTGTCAATATCTCTCTTGAATTGTGGTGCCCAGAATTGGACACAATATTCCAGGTGTGGTCTAACCAAAGCAGAATAGAGGGGTAGAATTACTTCCCTAGATCTAGACACTATGCTCCTATTGATGCAGGCCAAAATCCCATTGGCTTTTTTTGCTGCCACATCACATTGTTGGCTCATGTTTAACTTGTTGTCCACAAGGACTCCAAGATCTTTTTCAGATGTACTTCTCTCGAGCCAGGCATCGTCCCCCATTCTGTATCTTTGCATTTCATTTTCCCTGCCAAAGTGGAGTATCTTGCATTTGTCACTGTTGAACTTCATTTTGTTAGTTTTGGCCCATCTCTCTAATCTGTGAAGATCATTCAATTGTATTCTTGCTGGAGTTCAGAATGCTCTTGGTTGGCAGAGGAACTATACATCCCAGCGTCACACCTCAGAGTAGAAACACCTTGCTTAAGACACCAAAGAACACACCAGCAGTTATCTTTGTAGTTTTATTAAAATAAAAGAGAAAAAGTTCCAAAAGCAAAAGATCAATCCAAGGTAACATAGGCAAACAAGATCCATGAAGGCACAGGCAAAGCAAAGTCCCATAAGTACAAGGCAAAGTCCTAAAACATGAACATGGAAAGCTACAAGATAAATCCCAAAGGCTCTTGGTTAAAGCGTGAAGTTGCTCTGACACTGAGGCACATCCAACCAGACCGTTTAATACCCTTGGGCCAGCATGAAGGCGTTCCTATGGCCTCGGGCCTCACAGGCCTCTCTCTCTCGCCTCCCGGCGATCCTGACACTCCTTCGCACTTTCAGTTCCAAGCGATCAGCCCTATCTAACTCACCGGCCCCATCGAGGTCAAATCCCTCGTTAGCTGGCTGAGAACTATCCTCCCTAATTCCTTCATCAGGCACCTGGCATTCAGTCTCAGTAGTTTCACTTTCCCCATCGTCAACTCTTGCTGTGGGAAACAACTGAACTCCTGCCCCTGATCCTGGTCTTCCTTGTCTTAGAGCCGTAGCAAACTAGGATTTTGTGAGCGCAAACTAAGCCAACACGAGCGATGCTCCGCTCTTTCTCCACCTATTTCCCTTTGCTAGGGCAGCGTTGCGAGCATACGCTCGTGCCGCAGCAAACTACAGGAAGCTTGCGCTCGGGCTTGCTCCGAAGCCCCGCCTTTTTCCCCCCGAGGCTGCTCTCTCTCTTGCTAGCGTGCCTGTTTTCCATTGCAGAGGGCAGGGATGCGAGCGTACGCTCACAGTTGAATTCTGCCAACTGCGAGAGTACACTCGCATTGCTTCCCTAGCAAGGGAAAACAGGCACACTAGCAAGAGAGAGAGCAGCCTCGGGGAAAAAAAGGCGGGGCTTCGGAGCGAGCTTGAGCACAAGCTCGCTCTCGCTTCCAGTAGTTTGCTACGGCTCTAACACAGGCACATCCTTGCTTTGAATCTGAATCTGAATCTCATCATCCCCATCAGAATCATTGACACCATCACTGTGTGAGTCCAGCTGAGTCACAACACCCAGCAACTCCCAAATGCCAAGATCTATTTCCCCCAAACTCTACCAGTCTTCAAATTTGGGCATATTGAGTATTTGTGGCCAAGTTCTGTCCAGATCCATAGTCATTTGGGTTCACAGGTGACCTACATCTCCCGTAAATCACTGTCAATTCTTCCTAATCCCCTCGAGTACTTTCTATTGGTCATTGGGTTCTGTGTGCCAAGTTTGGTCCAGGTCTGTAATTCATGGGGATCTCAGTGGTCTGTGGAATTCAGAGCTGCATCAGTTGAAGGTACTGCAGATCCCATCATCTATTGTCTATACTCCCCTGAACATATTGTTTTTGCGATTAATCACTATACCAAACTCTGCGAGGTACATTTTCACTTCACCTCTCTAGCACAGGGATGAGATGGAATCTTAGAGTTGGAAGTGACCTCGTGGGCCTCCAACCCCCTGCCAAGAAGCAGGGAAAATGCATTCAAAGCACCCCCCGACAGATTACCATCCAGCCTCTGTTTAAAAGCCTTCAAAGAAGGAGATTCCACTTCACTCTGGGGCAGAGAGTTCCACTGTTGAACAGCTCTCACAGTAAGGAAGTTCTTCCTAATGTTTAGCTGGAATCTCCTTTTCTGTATTTTGAAGCCATTGTTCTGCTTCCTAGTCTCCAGGGCAGCAGAAAACAAGCTTGTTCCCTCCTCCCTATGACTTCCCCTCACATATTTATACATGACCATCATGTCTCCTCTCAGTCTTCTCTTCTGAAGGCGAAACATGCCCAGTTCTTTCAGCCGCTCCTCATAGGATTTGTTCTCCAGAACCTTGATCCTTTTAGTCGCCCTTCTCTTGACACATTCCACCATGACATCTCCCTTCAATTGCGGTGTCCAGAATTGGACATAGTTTTCCAGATGTGGTCTGACCAAAGCAGATGGGCTTGGAAAAAGTTCCTGTGGAAGACATCCAGGAGTCTTAGCAGACCACAGGTGGAGCTGCGGTGGCACACATTTTGGGAATGCTCAAATGCAATACTTAATAAAATAATAATAATTCTCGGTACTGGGTTTTAGGCTTCAAACCCAAAGTGCCAGCCTGTTTCCTGGGCAGGGTCCCACCCACATCTCTGTGAGCAATACCTTAGGCCTTCTGAATGTTTGTGTGATACAAGCACCCCAGAGATATACAGACTTATGACAATACTTGGTTAGTTTGGCTTTCGTGTCATTATTGGGTTTTAGTCTGAACTTTAAAGGTATTGTCTGAAGTGCCCACACAGTACCTTTAAAGTTCAGACTAACTTTAAAGGTATTGTCTGGGCTTAGTCTGTTGGGCTGATTGTTTTTGAAAGCATCTTGCATCTCGCTCTGGGAGAAAATAGAAGGTTGAAAGAAGACACAATGGCCATGTTTTCAGTATTTGAAAAGATGTCATATTGGTGAGGGGTCAAGCTTGTTTTCTGTTGCTCTGGTGACTATGACTCGGAGCAATGGATTCAAATGGTAGGAAAAGATATTCAACTTTAACATTAGAAAGAACTTCCTGATGGTAAGGGACGTTCAGCAGTGGAATAAGCTGCCGTGGAGTGTGGTGGAGTCTC